CCGTTGATCTCTTCTCTCCTTTCCCCCACAAGCGTGTCTGTGGCTTTGCTTCTCCCTCCTGCTCCCCTCGTTTGCTCCATTGTGACAAACCGTTCCTCTGCTCCTCAGTCCCCCCGGCTGTCCGCAGCTGCTCGGCACTCCCATGCTGATCCCTGGGGCGCAGGGCATGCATCTGCCGCATGCAGGCAGACCGCAGCAGCACACGTGTGTCAACATTTCCTGAAGCAGCGAGCAGCCGCTCGGTGCAGAGCTGTGCCCACCTCACGTGTGGCCCGAGAGGTTGTTCGAGGGGCAGATGAAAGCGGGCCGTCCGGCGCTGCAGGTGGGGCAGCTCCTCGTCCTCCTGCTCGGATTGTGAGCCTGTCAGCAGTTCTGTGGAATGGAGATGGAGTTTCACTAGATCAGCAGAAAGTTTCAGCCCCAAAACCAGAGGAGAGGTGGGGGGAGAAGAGAACTTAACTCTCTGCGTGCCAGAGAAAGCCCCATGGAGTTCCTTCTGAGAACCGGAGGCTGGTTTGGCTACTCTGAAGTCAGAAAGGTGAGATGTCCTCCTGTCGGCTGACGTCATCTGGTTGTTCAGAGATTGCAAAGCTTTTGTCTGGTTTTTGCTTTTTATTTATCCCACCAAGAAATGCACGTGGGAGAAGGTCTCCGGGTTCTGCTGCAAGTGAATTTTCCTGGCTATTTTGTTTGTGTTATGGTATATAGAGGCTATAGCTGCATGCAGGCCCATCTGTGGTGCTGAGTGCTGAGCAGATCTGTGCTGAGACCCTCCTTCACTCCACATTGCTCACCGTGTCTGGACGCAGGCAGGCAGGTGTGAGGAATGAGGGCTGTCACTGCACGGCGGGTAGTAGATGGAGGTGCCAGAGGGGTGGGAGCCCAAGGTCAGCGAATGTGCGTCAGAGCAGGAGATCTGGATCCTGACTGTGGGAATCATCTGGAGCCTGGGAGAGCAGGTCGGGGTGTGCTGACGCTAACGGCTAAATGACACTGACTGTAAGGGGCCTAACGGCCTCATCTTTTACCCTTGTAAAAGGCAGAAGTACGGATGTTTGTGTGTGTGTATAATGTTGTATACGTACGTGCACAAAGAAATGATGTTTTCTGATCTGTTGAGTATTATTGAGCTGGGGTAAAGGATGACACTGCCTAATGTACCCCAGATCTTTGGTGGTGCAGGCATGCTCTCACAGCGAGCAGCTCAGCACCGCGTTGCTGCAAATTGACTGGGAATGGCAGGCAGAATGGCATGGCCTTGTGTATTGGGGAGGGCTGTGGTAAGCCAGCTAGTGAAAAGAAAATGGTTTACTGGCTTTGCTTTTGCTTTTGCCTTCTTTCCTTGGCAGTCTCCGGTACAGCCTTGGGTCATTGGGACTGGTGTGTGGGTGTCCACCAGTGCTGCACCAGGGACACTGAAATTGGAAGCAAAACCGTCTAAAATAAGTGTTTTGTAACTGGCTTTCTTTTTTCTCCATGGATTGCTGCTGCTGTGCGCGAGGGACCCTTTCAGCCAGGCTCCTGCTGTTCTGTGTGTTGGGGCCAGACAAAAGAATGAGTGGTTTGTCTTTATTTGCCATCCAATGTCGAGGTGCTTTCGCAGAAGCAGTGTGGGGGGCTGTGGCAGTGGGGTGATGAGCACTGAGGTCAGTTTTGCTGTCTCACATCAGCCCAGATTCCCTGAGCCAGCGCCAGAGGCATTTGAGCTCAGGATGGTTGGGAGGATGTTTGAGTATTGATCTGGAAAGCTGACGTGAAGTGCTTTGAGAATCAATTTTGTCACAGAAAAACCCAGGGAAGTCAATATTTCCCCACTGTGCCCTGTCTCCTGCTGTCCTGCTTTTGGGGTGGCTGAGGGCTGGCATTCCTGCAGGGCTGGTGGTGGCTGTGCTGGTTTTACACAGCCCTCTCTGCTGCCGGCGCTTTGTTCCATCAGCCACGCTGCTGTGAGTTCTCCCTTCAGCCCTCCAGGCAGTGACTCCTAATTGGAGTGTACTGGAGGACCGCGGAGAAAGCTGCTCTCACCCCATGGCGTAGTCCCTGGGGCTAAAGGCATCCCCAGCCTCCTTGTCCCTCCATAGCCCAGCAACAGGAGGAGCAGCCAGGCCTGCCTGGAGGCCAGCAGGGAGAAGGGTCAGCAGGTTCAAACTGCACCATTTTTTCTCCCCCGCGGTAGTTGGCTCAGTTATGTTCAACCTCTTTGTGTTTCTGCCTCTTTCCCAGCGCTCAGAGCACTTCCAGGTTCCCCTTCCCTTCCTCTGCCTTTGCCGTCTTGGTGTTTCAGGTGGGTGTATGTTGACTGCACTGTCCCCCTGCTCATCCACCACCTGACATTCACCATGGCAGCAGTTCCCAAGGGACGTTTAGGTTTAAAGGGTGAGATGTCCCCTCCTTGCTGTAGAGTTCCTCAGACTGCTTTGGCGTCTGTGTATCATTAGCAGGAGATGTTTTCCTTTTACACGACTGCATTTGAAGAACATGTTCTGCGGTGGTGGAACGAAGGCATGAAGGAAGGAGAGGTGAGGCAGCAGATTCCTCTCCTGTGAGGAGAGCTGCCCTGGTGTGCGAGGCACGCGGCCTGATGCCGTGCCACATTCCACTGTGTGCGCTCCTCAGGGATGACAAGAGACCCCACCTTTAGCATCTCATAGCTTCTCCTCAAACTCTGCGTGAGAATTCACAAAATTCCGTCCCCAGATGTGTGTCATGTCCCTTCTGAGACCCGCTGTGTCCGCAGGATTGCGCTTTGGAAAGCAAAGCCAACCGGAGGTCATCTGCCATGAGGGTGAGCTGGTGGTCTCATCAGCTGTCTGCGTGGCGGTGCCTTGGGCAGCGCTCAGGGATGCAGGGACGCCCTGTTCCTGCTTTGGGAGGCTGTCAGAGCTGCTTGCAGAGCAGAAGCAGGAATTCTAACTACATGTTTCACTGCAGGCCGGACCTGGAATGGCAGAGCTGTAGCAGTCCTACGCAGCACATAGGAATCTGTTTCAGCTTTATATCATCACCACCTTGCCTGTGGTAGCCTGGCTTTCTCTTTTCCAGAGAGGAGAGGGCTGTTCTGCGGTTGGCGTGGGCTGCAGTGACAAGTGGTGCAGTGATGAGATGCATAGGTGGAGAGCACTGCGGTTGATCTGTCAGGGGGAGAGGCGAGAATCAAAGTCTGGAGCTCAGAGATTTGGGCAGTTTTAAAAACAATAACTTAGCTTCGATTTTCACTGATTTTCCAAGTGAGTAGCAAAATCGAATGGATGCTTTGGTAGGGATTTGTGTTTGGTTTCTTTTCCTTTGTTTCTCACTCTCTCTGAGCGAGCTTATCATAGGCAGCGCAGCATCGCAGCGGTCTCAGAAGAGCAGGTCAGCTTACCTTTAGCACCCCGGGAGTCAACTGAGCTCCTAACAAGGAATGCTGAGCTATGGCTCCACTTCATTCTCCATTTGGAGCACTTCCACCTTCTTCAGGATGAAAATAGAACTTTATTTGTCCTTATTTGTGCTCTTATCGTACTGCTTGCACCCATATCAGTGTATACATAACATTAAAGATTGTTAGGGGCTTTCGTTTTAGGAAGTGAGCTTATGTCAATAAAATGCTCTTAAGCCCTGGATGACCTTGGCTGTGCCTTCAGATCTGACCTCTGCAAACTCATCAGATTCTGAACGTAGAATGGAGGGAGGAAGTTGGGTTCAGGCAGATGGAGCCTGAAGCAGAGTTTGGTTTTGCCATTCTTGGGTGGAAGACAAACTCCCAAATGCCCGGTGCCTCCGGTGGGATTTGCTTGATAACCTTTAGCAGTAGCGTTGCAAATATATTCTGACCTCTAAATATAGATCTGGGTATTTATACATCCAGTGCTTTGTGCACAGCACTGCGTACATTCGATGGGACATAAACAGCTCCAGCAAACTGTATTTATCTCCAGCATGGAAACAAATGCTTGATTGCATCACATGAGCTCGCTCGGGGGCTTTTATTTATATACTCCTGGCCACACCAGGGCAGGGAAGGGGGAATGCTTCCTTTTGTCTTTCAACCCCTGGAGGGCCCTGCTCTCTTTGCCCTCTTTGTAAGTTCCTCAGTCGGCCATTTACATCTTGTTTTATGGACCCTGAGTATCTACATATAAACACACAGATTTCACAGTCACATGGTCTGCTTTTCTCAAGAATAACAGACGGCAACTTTATGATCTGAGTGATTTTATTTGAACACAGCTGCGGCCTCGTGATTGAAATTTTTCAATAAATTTTAAACTAACTAGATGAGAGAAAGCTGTGCCAGGAAACAGGTTAGAGTACGGAAGGGGATCTCCAACAGACAGGGGCAATATGGGCTCTGCACAGACACTTCTGGCCTCGTATTCTTCCCATCAGAAGGTCCCAGACACCTTCCTGGGTCGGAAGGCCTGTCCCAGCATCCTTCCCCCTCCTTGCAGAAGTGCTGCTGCAGACTGTTGGATGTGGTGGGACTCAGTGTGGTGGGGGAGAGGGAGAGCTGCTGCAAGCACGAGCGGCGCTCCTCCCTCGGCCCAGGCTGGCTGAAATGCAGCCCCAGGCATGGAGTGTGTGGGCTCAGGCCTTGCTGCACCTCTGGGCAGCTGGTTATGAGGGGTCGTTGAGGAGCTTTTGGCTGTCAGTGTTTGTAGAAGCTGTTTTCAGCTCAGCTTCTTCTGATGATCCTTAGATGGACTTCACGCATCAGCTTCACTTGTGCAACATGGCTTAAAAGTCCGCTCTTCAGAAGTAAGAGAGGCTTTGCAACTCATCCCACTGAAATCTCGTTGTAGGATCAGGCCATTAATTGGTTTGTGATGTAGGTTCTTCATATGCAAAATGGAAGGAAGGACTGCTCCTTCCCAGAAGGCCCAGAGGATGGATTTCATCTGGGATCATACGAGAACAGCAGCGATAATGCTGCTGTTAATTACAGACATTCTTTATTGGAGTTTGTCTGTCCTTGCGCCAATTACGAATTTTCTTCTTGTTTTTATTTGTTTCAAAAGGTCCCCCTGTGTTCATTAAAAAACCTGTGGACCAAATTGGTGTGTCGGGAGGGGTGGCGTCTTTTGTATGCCAAGCAACTGGAGACCCGAAGCCACGAGTCACCTGGAACAAGAAAGGGAAGAAAGTGAACTCCCAGAGGTTTGAGGTAAGAGACGTCCTTCCAGTCAATGTGTATGTAGACAGGGACTGACAGAAAGCAGCTAGTGCTCCTCTGTGGTCGTTCTGAGGCCTGATAATAAAGGGAGATTTGGAAGAGGAGGAGTTTTAACAGCAGTAAGAATGAAGTACAAGCTCTTGGCTGTGTTAACAACTGAGATTGTTCCGAAGCAACAGAGTTTGTGGGGTTTTTTGTTATTGTTGTTTTTTCTTTTGCTTTGTTGGTTGGTTGTTTAGTTTTTCCCTCCTCAGATATAACATGAAGCTGCTTTCTCCCTGCCCTAAGAAACTCCAGCTACAAGCTGGTACTTCTTGGGCTCCACAAATGCACCTTCCATATTCATCCATGACTCATTATTTTAACTCTGGAACAGCCTGAAGTAAACAACACAGTTGCTGGCACTGCTTAGATGGAAATAATTTGGATAGAAATGACCAGAGTAACAAGAACTTGGAGGTCATCCTACAGAATGTGCTGTGGGACCCTGTCCTGCCAGGCAGCTGTGTGCTCAGAAGAGCTTTGTGGGGTTAGCTGCCTACGCAGATGGAAGAATGAGGCAAAGATTCTTTTTTCTTTTTCTGTTTCTCTCGGCGCATTTCCCCCTGCTTCATCACAGTTGTGTTCTGAACCCACCCCACACACCATCACCTGGTGAGAGCATCTGAGATACACACAGCAGTTTTGGTGTGCCAGAAGTCAGGGATGGGTTTGGTGTGGCAGTTCCCTGGCTCCTTCAGGTCAGCAGAGAGAAGCTGGCCGTGCTGGCTGTATGCTGGGCACTGAGGGACAGCTGATGTGTGTTTCCAGGTGTATGTGTTTGTAAATGTGTCGGTGCCTCCTTGAGAAGCAGAATTTAACCTTCTGCTTGCAAGCCAAGGACGCTTACTATGTGTATATGTTTCTTTCCTTTTGTTCCCCAGACAATTGAATTTGATGAAAGTGCAGGTGCTGTTCTGAGGATCCAGCCGCTCCGGACTCCCCGGGATGAGAACATTTATGAGTGTGTTGCTCAAAACCCTCATGGGGAAGTCACTGTCCATGCCAAGCTCACTGTCCTCCGAGGTAAAGAACATTTCTGCCTGCCTGTGTCAGTGTCACGGGAGAAGGTACCCGTCAGACTCTCTCTTGCTTCTCATGGGTGGGGAGACTGCCACAAAATGCATGGCCATAGCGCAGAGTCCTTTTTTGGTTTGTTTTGACCTATCAGATCTGTTTTTACTTTTATTACTTAAATTTTTATTACATAAAATGGATATGTAAGAAGCAAAAGCAGAGTGCTTGCTATTACCAGACCACGTACGAGTTCTGTCAGGAAGGTGTGTTGAGGGTCCTTGCAACATGAATTATCCTACGTCTCCATGATCTTCCCTGCAATAAATATTCCCTCCCCAGGTTTATGAGTAGCACCAGATAATGCCTCTTCTTCAGCAACTTCAGTATTTTCAACAGCATCTGATGTCCCTTTGTTTGAACAGAGAGTGAGCACATCCCTGGCAGTGTGGAGCTAAATTTGTGTGCAGAATCCTAGCACAGAGCAATAAACAAAGATCAGACATAAAGGGCACATGGCAAAGCCTTTTGTAGCAGGAATATCCCTTCTGCTGCTCACCTGGCAAGCTCTGCGTTGGCAAGCTGCTGGCTTCCTTTGAGGATGCAAGCCTGTGGTCCAGGCATGCCTGACAGATTTGTGTAGGTGCACTGAAATCTTTGTGTTGCTCCTCTGCCTGGCGTGGCATTTAACCTTCTGCTGGCAGTACGTGGTGGGGAGGCTGCAACAGTGCTTTATGGCAGAGCGTGGTTAGCTGCGGTCTGGCTGGGAGCTGGAAGCTCTGTTCTTCACACTTCCTCATAGATGGAGTGGTGACGGTTTGGGAGAGGTGCCCCTGTGATCGTAACCAAAATTTCTACCCCTTGAATGTAATGTGATCAGTGGCGAGAGACAATGTTGTCCTCCAACTCCTGCTCTCGCAAATCTTCCGAGTTCTCACTGCGTTTTTCAGCACTCATAAGAAAGCTGCAATGTATGGGAAGTGATGCCTTGAGCTCAGTGATGGCCCCCAGGGACAGCACTGCTTTGTACATGTCTTTTTGCAGCTCTTCCTTCCGGTATCAGCATCATACACATGTCAGCTAGAGAGGCAGATGACAGAACAGGAGCTCATCTCCCTGCCTGACTAATTATGCACTTTGCTGATCCCACCAGAACATTATGGTGCTTTGCTCCAGTGCTGTGGTGCTTTCACAGGAACTGCTGTTCCGCTTGCCTAATGGGACTTTGTTCATTAGCTTAGCTAACTGGCTACAAAAGCAGGTAGGGTACCAGTCCAGGAAACGGGGGAGCAGTAATGACCTGCAGGTTGCTGAAGAGCACTGGGGAGGCAGTTTTTGCAGCACACCCTCCCCTTCCCTGCACTGCTGGAGTTATTCCATCCCTCATCTTTGTCTCCTCTTTGTCTTCATTTGTAAGTGATGGGGAGGTTAAAAGGATCAAGCACAAATCCACTAATCTCCACAATGACAAAGTCAGCATGCTGGCATCTATTCCTCTCTTTTCTCAATCTCCTTCTACGTTCACCCACTCTCCTGTTTGTCTTTTCTCTGTCTTTCCTTGCAGTGCCACCTCCTCCTTTCTGCCTCTCTTCTCTCACTTTCAGAACGAATGCTTGGCAGAAAGATGGGGGCAGCTCCACAGCTTGGAGATGAATGTGAGCTGTCATTTGCAGAAGCTGTTATCTTGGCATGCTGTGGAGTATGGAAACCTGGGCCCCAGCTGTTACAAACTCTGCAGGATGGGGTTTGGACTCATTCTGCAGCCTGTTGGCTGTGCTGTTGTAATCAGCTTGAAATACATTTGTGTAACTTCATGGAATACACGTGTATGAACAGTTATGGGATTTCCTTAGTGCCAGAGCAGACAGTCTCACAAACAGAAAGGAAAAAAGCATTCTTCCCTCCTAGATGTGGCTATTGAAGGAATGGGGAATAAACCCTTCTTTGGTTATCCACATGACTGTTCTTGGATCAGACCATGATAGAAGTCCATATGCATTCACTTAATAGCAGGAAGCTGCAGGAGAGGAAACCTCTGGGAACTCTGAGAAGCAAAGCTTGTGATGGACACCACTCAGCTCACAGAACATCTTCACTCCATCTCTGCTGCCTCATTTGTCCTTCCTGTTTTGTTTCTCGGATCTGCATTTCTATAGTCTGGAACTTGCTGTTCTTTCCACAGCAGGCTGGAAGTAGTGCCTGCAAACCTGATTCCTGCAGAGCCCAAAGAAAAGGAAGGAAAGTGGTCTTGGGAAGCATTTTCCAGTTATTGTTGACTCCAGCTGCTGTCATTTTTCATAATAACTTAGGCAGAAGGGAAGCTAGTTGACACAGGCACCCCAGCTCTCAGTTGGTATTGTTTCTGTAAGCTCCTCACTCCAGGAAAGATGTGCATAATTTAACTTTTATTATTACTGTTACTGCTTCCTATACACAGGTTTTATCTTCCCTCCACTTCTGTAGCAGCCCATGGCAGCAATTCTTGTGCCATGGAGGTTCTCTCCCTGCCTCACCCTGCCTGCAGGAGACCGGGCTGCAGCCTTCTGCCTGCATTGCCTCTGCTGTGCGGAGGCAGCGAGCTGCATTTGGAGCAGGGGCAGGCAGAGATTGGTTCTTTGCTTTATTGAAGCTGATAGAGTTCCATGGGGGCTCCCCTTTGTGAGTCGTTAGTAAATGCAACATGAATTGTACATTGATCCCATAAAAAACAGCGCTCGGTCCAGCTGAATGTAATGGAGCAAGGTCTGCTGCGCCCTGACAGCTCACTGTGTGCTGGCTGATGCTGTCCTTTCCCGAGGATTTCTGCACTCTGGAAAATCGAGGAGGCTGGCTGTTAGACACGCGAGGTCTGCGGCAGTTATTACCGGTGTGTGGGTCAGGCTGCTGGGTTCGGACATTCAGCCTTTTTTTTAGAGATTCCCTCTTGTTTTCTTATGAAGCGTTCATTTCTCTAGCAGTCCTGCCCTGAAATTTCTGTCACACATTTCCTACTCAAAGAGGACATCTGGTGTGGGCATGTAGAGTGTTCTAGCAAGACTTCTGCTGTTTGGTTGGCTTTTGTAATCGTTGGCTTTAGGTCAACAAAACACAAATGAGTTCTGGATGCTCAGCAGAAAGCGTTGAGCCCCACGGGAGCGCGTGCTGAGGCAGAGCTGCCTCGGAGGTGTTACCTGGCCACTCGAGAAGGTCTTGGCAGATGTGCTTCAAACTGGTCTTGCTTGGCTGTTCCTGTAACGACCTGAAGATCGGGCCAAGTAGAAAGCAGATTAGTTCTGTAGCTTATGAAAAATGTCAGGCCAGTTTTAATTCAGTGGAGCGCATAGGAGCACGCTGGTGGCAGGGAGGGCCAGGTATTACCTGCACTGTTGTGGGGCCAGCTCACGTATCTGAGTGTCTGTGAGCCCACTTAGTTATCTTCGTAGCAGAACTCTCAGATCAGAATGCATGGAATCAACAAGCAGAGCACGTTGCTGAGACTCCTGGCATGTATCAAATCTGTCTTTGGCTGCGTGGTCGTGGTTAGCTGAGACACAGCAGTGTATATCCTGATGGGAGGAGCTGGGTGTCACTTTACAAGGTGCGTCCTGCAGGGATGCGTGGTGGGGACGGGGATGCTTGTAACATACTCATAAAGTTGATGAGGAAGACAGGACTAAGCTTCACAAGTTCTGGTTTCTGATCCTGGTTCTGCTTAAGATTAGTGTCATTTGAGCTGCTCTTGGCTCTTCACCGTTGGAGTGAGGATGGCAGGCTGATGAGAGACCAGTCGGTATCCATGAGCAGGGCTGTGTATCTCCAGAGAAAAGCAAGAAATTCCTCTTTTCTTCAACAACACCCTCATTGTAGCTTTCTGCATTCAATACGTAGCTCATCTGTACGTGCTCACACCCTCCTCCTCTTCTAAATTATTAAATAACTGCGCGCCCTGCGGGAAAAAGAGCAGCAGCAACACCCGCTTTATCTTCCTTCATCATCCTCATTTCTAGCACGACTGATTATCTAGACACAAAGCTGCCACCTTCTCGAGGGACGAGAGGCAGCAAGTGTCTCCTTTGCTGCAGTTGGTGCCCTTTGCTCTGTCTGTAGGACCATGTGTGCATCAGTGCATGCGCGGCTCCCGGCACAGCACAGCCTCCAGTAGGATTTCATACAAATGAATGCTGAAGTGCTCTCCTCTCCCTGCCTCCCTCAGTTTTTCCTCACCTGCTGCTTCTCACCCTACTTTGTTCAGTGGCCTTGAGATAACTCACCAGCTTTTTCTCTAGAGAAACCTTTACACTTCTCAGTCTAAGAGCAGGATGAGCTCTGTTAGAACGGCAAGTGCAGCGCGTGACAACACTCACCTGCATGAGCTAGCCTGGGATTCAGCAGCAGGCCAGGTGTGCCCTCCAAGCTTGCATCTTCCCTCTTTTGTTCTTGCAGTTGTCTGGGCTGCTTTTAGAAAGAGAATTCACAATCCAAACCATCCCTTGTTTATTTACTTGGTAACAGGTCTGGGCTGGTGTTTGGGGATTGAGGAGGAGGTGGCAGGGCGTGCGTGTGCATGTCTTGTGGGGATTGAGTTGAGACTGTAATTGCATTATTAAAGGGAATCCAATTGTTAGGGGATGAAGCCAGTTTCACTTTCCTGGCAGGAAGGAAATCTGAGCTCTTGGATCAGTGCAGTGTGTGATGTTCGGTGGTGCTTCCTCTGTCGATCTGATCCTCAAATCTGATCACGCCTCTAGTCGCAGTTGTTTTAATTAAACTCAGAGGAATTCTGCACAATGTGCTGCAAGATTAACATTTTGTTTAATTAGAAACACTCGGCAGTAGTAGTTGTACCAGGCCTCCCCCAGCACACATGCACACGTATTAATTGGTTCATGAAATTAACGGGCGTGGGTCTGAGCCAGGTGGAGTAGCATCGCCAGGGAGCAGGATAAAAGCAGTAATCAATAATGATGTCATCTGCAGCCAATGCGGCAGCAGCTCTGCAGCTCCTTAACAACACACCACCGCCTGGTTAAATGGGAGAAGGGAAGAGAAGACGTTAAAAGCCTGGCTGAAAGCTGTGCGAAGGCAAAGCAATTCCCTGAGCTCTCCAGCCCTCAGCTCCCGCCTGGGGGGGGCTGGGCCTTTGCAGCACACGTGATCTGCAAAACCAAATGCTGTTTGGAGGGTGTTGCAAAGCCTGAGAACAGCCCGGTGAAGTGAGACCTCAAAGGTTTGGATCAGTCCCTGGTTAAGGGCGTTTGCGTCTCTGTTTTGAAGGTAGTACGTGGTTTTGAGGCATTTCAGATGCACTGAAATAGCTGCTCCTTTATACAGCTGAAAGTCAGTCCATGCTTTGAAACCTGTATTACTTTTGCAGTCATGAGGTGGTACGTGTTTTTGTTTGTGGTCAGGTTCCTTTGATTTATGAGAAGATATTTCACTCTGCACTGAGTCACACTGGATGGCGTATAACGCTCCAGTAATGATCAGAGAAGGAAACAGTGCCCATTTTTAAACATGCGAAGATGTGACAAAGATTATGGGGGAAGCACTAACGTTTTATATTAGTTATCACAAATTACCCAACGCTGGTTAGGATTGCCCTCCTCCCCCTCATTAGTGAAGGTGAAGGCAGGGCTGAGAGGCAGCAGGGAGCTCTGCTGAGCCCGGCTGCGCGGTCCTGGTGCTGCATCCCCCTTGCATGGCAGCAGCACTCCGATAGAGCTGAACATCACACCTTGTCTGACAGCACTTGGCTCACTGTTGCTCTGTGTGTCCCCTCTGGTAACTACAGCTGGATGATATTTTCCTCTCCTTTCCCTCCTCGTTTTCACTGCGTTTTTGACATTCCTTTTCATGTAGTCGCTTTCATTATTGCTCTTGCGCAGTTTGTTTTGCATTGCGGGGCTTAGGGGGGAAGGAAGAATTACTCCTTTCAGATGTGGCTGTCTGTGCTGTACTCTGCAGACAGGGATCTGTGCCATATGTATGCAGAGCTTCTGCTGTAGGAGCAAGTATGTGCGAGTTGCTTTCCTGGGAGAGGGATTTACTGCAAGATCTGGAGAGACTTTGAGATGCCCCAAAGCTTTTTAGACTCAGATTTTGTATTTAACTGTAAAACTTTTCTTGTGGGGCATTAGGATGGTCGCACATAACGTGCATGAGGGTAGACTTCACTGCTTGACATGTTTTCGCAGGCCGTCCATGGATGATTTGCAGTAGCCTTTCCTTGAATCTCACTGCTCAGAGAACTGGGCAGCAGTTCTACCTGACTGCGTTTTTTGGTGTGTTCTATTGAACAGCCCCTCCAGCTGCCCTGGTCCCAGCTGTGTGTGTAACCGCTGTGCTTTTTCTCTCCCACCAGAGGACCAGTTGCCTCCCGGCTTCCCAAACATTGACATGGGGCCCCAGCTGAAAGTGGTGGAGCGGACACGAACGGCCACAATGCTCTGTGCAGCCAGTGGGAACCCAGACCCAGAGATCACCTGGTTTAAAGATTTCCTGCCTGTCGACCCAAGCACGAGCAACGGGAGAATAAAGCAGCTGAGATCAGGTGAGGTCTCTGTGTGAGGTCAGAGAATCAAGATATAGATACAGTTGTTAAAGGAATGCCCAGAGGTTTCTGAAACAGAGGAGGGGGCCTATAAACGCAGCCTTGCAGGTGTGCGTTGGGTCATTTGCTTTCCTTCGCTTTTGGGATTCACATTCTTATCCAGGAAATGATTGGGGCGCTTTCCCCTGCACCCCATTTTCCTTCCCTTCCCTGTTACAAAGGAAAGCAGAAAGGGAAGCTGGTTCTCCTGCAGGAGATGCTGTAACCAGTCTGCTTGCCTCAGTAATGATGTTACTGCAGTTTGGGAAATTGGATAGGGGCTGTGGGTTTCCTCCTCAGAGCAAGAGCTGGGGAAAGAATCACTGGGACAAGACAGCACGCTAGGCCATGCACACCTGGTGTAAGGTCTGCAGCTGTGGAAGCAGGATCCTGTGGGTGTAAATGGAGCTTGTCAGAGCTGGTATGAAGAGCAGCTCTTGCGGGCATCACATCCCTGCAGTCATTGCTGGAGAGCAGTTGTGAGCAGTGAGCAGTGCTCAGTGGCAGTGCAGTGGAGTGGATCTCTGCGAACAGATGTACCCCAGCTCCGTGGCTCTTGTCAGTTCTCTGTCTTTCCCCATCTGCTTGTCCATCTGCTTCTTTTGTTTACGTTTGTTGTTTTTGTGTGTCAACGTGACATCTCCCAATATCCATGTTTCAGGAGCTGTTTGTGTAGTTGTTAAATATCCTGGTTCACAGTGTGAGTGTGTATGTGCACACATGCAAGGAGGGCACAGGTGGATTTATTAATGAATGCTTCTGATAAAGTAATTCCTTAGCTTAAAAGAAGATCCACGCAAAACCCTCCCTGCTTTCTTGCTGATAACTGCGATTATGAAACAAGCGGTGCAAGTTTTACTTCTTGACAAAAACTACCCACAGAAGTGGTCCTCTTCAGGTGCTGCTTGGACCGACTGCTCTCACCCCACCTGGACAAAACATTCTTTGTTGTTGGACCTAGCAGGAATCAAACACAAAAATTCATTATTCCACAGCCACCGGTTTGGCTCGGTGTAGTTCCAGTTCGGTGTAGCTTTTGTACACCTGCATCAGTGCTTCCTTATTCAGTGAAGCAAACTAACAAGCAGATATTTAAGCTGCTTTGTTAGAATTAGAATGGATTGGTGAATCCCACAAACCCAGATGAGATTGACCTCTCTGTTTTATTGTAACAGCTGAGTCAAATGCAAATAAAAAAAATCACTCAGCATAAATAATGAGAGGTAAACTAGAATTATATCATGCTCTGTGACCATGAGCTGAAGTGTGAGTAATGCACAGGCAGATTATTTTTAATACATTTATCATCTTGCTAGAATGCCTTTATACTCCTGAACTGGGTTTGATCTGATGCTTTCCTTAAAGCCACCTGAATGCTGCATTTTTTTTTTCAGTGAATTGGTTTGCCTCTGAGGGAACCCTTGACCTTTCTGGTAAATCTGAAGATGCCTGCTGAAAAATTAATCTCATTTACAGCTTCTTTGAATTAGTAAGCTGGTGAAGCATCCCTGCTGTCCTCTGGGGCAGAAACCTGTTGCTTCTGTGGAAGGAGTGCAGGTGGCTGTTCACACGGGAGGACTGAAAGTCGAGGTTCTGCTTTATTGTCCTATTTCATCTACTTGTAGGGCTTTCCAAAACTCACATGTTCTGCATTGCAAAGGCCTGTGAAAGTGGAGAACGTTAACATCAGGGTCATCCAGACCAAGGCAAAGGAGATTTCAAGTGTGCATTTGTAACCAGTGTGCGATGTGCATGGTCTTGCCTGTCAGAGCGCTGATGATGCGAGTGCTGCTGTCAGGACTTAATTTAATACATTTACCTTTGCAGAAAACAATCTTTGCTGCCCAGAGTGTAGCACTAGCACACGTTAGGGCACTGGATGCTTCAGGACACTGCTAATGAGCTTCAGTGTCTTCCACGCACAGGCCAGCAGTGTCACTGTAATCCAACCTCTGGGAAATTACGATTACAGCCAACTAACGGGTGTTGGACAAACCCTCTGTGAGAGGGAGCGCAGGGAGGAGGAGTGGGAGCTCTGTCTCTAACAGACTTAGCACACAAGCCAGCGGCTGTGCTGTCTCTGAAGACTTGGCTGTGCAGTGCTCCCTGATGGAGATGGGCACAGGGACATGCAGCAGGACAAGACGGGACAGGACAGCCACGAAGGTTCTGCCTTGCAGAGGGTGGCATCCATGGTGCTTTATTACAGAGGGTGTTAAGAACTGGGGAGGGCGTTAAGGCCTGAATTTGTATTGGTACAGGATTTAGTGGCAAACATGCAAATTAGCTCATTAAAAGGTAGAGATGAAATGTCACTCACAGAGCTCTGCAAAATTGGGCAGCCGTGTCCAGATTTAGTTCTTGTTTATATTAAAACAGCCAGGTACTTCACTGTCAATGCAGATGGTCCTCCGAGGCTGCAGCCGTTCAGCTCACATCGTCCCGTGGTGCCGTTTGTGTTAAGAGTTCAGTGTAAGTGAGGAACAGGTAGTGATGCTGTTAGCCACGCAGCTTTCCTCCAGCCCTCCCTCCGTCTCCAGACATTCCTTCCGAGCAAGTGGGAGTCTTCATGTTTGATCGTTTAGATAGAGTGAAAGGCTGAATTGTCGGCCAGAGGAAAATGGGAGAAAGCTCTGTCTGGCCGCCTGTTTCCCTCAGTCTTACACCAAGATCTCAACCTTAGCAACCCAGGCTGCCTGTGAGTGTAAGTGGCCTCGGTGGTGGACGACGAATGGACGTTTCTGCCTGCGCACAGGAGCAGCAGGCGATGTCCTCTGCTCAGCCGTGCCACCTATGGGGGACAGCGGGAGGCGCTCAGCAGTTGGCTTCTTTCATCAGAGGAACCCTAAAACCTTTTGTGTCTTGTGTGTTGTCTTCTGCTTTCTAAATAAGTGGCTCTAACAAACTTAATTTTTTTCTTTTTTGTCTTTTTTTCACTATTTTTTACATTCAGAGACCTTTGGTAAGTTTGTTCAATTAAAAAAACAAAAAACAAAAAACAAACCGAAAAACCAAAGCTAAATGAAATCCCCAAACCTGCTAATGTGGAGATCTGTAGCCCTCACCTTTAAACTAATTCCTTTGTAACAGCTTTCTGAGAGGCATGCCATGCATTTCTTCTACTAACTCTTTCAGTAGGGATCTTCTGCCCTCTTAATAATTTCTGCAGGGGTATTGCAGGCTACAAAAAGAATAATAATAATCCTAATTAATAAATCTATATGAAGAGATAACAGCTAAATATGAACCTCCTAACATTGGATAGACTTTTTTGTAACTTAGCAACAGTTGTCCTGGAATTCCCCAAATACACAGTAGCTTGTACCCTGGACCTGTGATAATTGTGTTCACACCTGCAGGAGGTCCTGGAGTTTCACATCTAACAGAGTTATTGGATTTTTTGGAAGGGAGAGGTGAGGATGCAGCATTTCCAAATTGAGGCTGTTCGTCACCGGCGGTTGGAAAAGCACCCCGTCCACGTCAGCTCTGTCCCCTGAGAAGCCCTGCAGAGCTCCTGTGCCACGTCCCCTTTTGTGATCAGAGATGTAGCAATTGCAGCTGTCACCCAGGATCCGGCATTTTAAAATTGCAGGAGACCTTTGATGATTGCTTGCTTGTTTGGAATAGAAAGCTCTCTCCAGCCCTCGGGAGAGGAGCGCAGCACACACGTGTTCTCACACGTGGTCTGACAGAAGGTGGGGATGTGTTTTCTGTCATTACCATGGCAATGGTGACTTTCCTCCTCTCCCTGTGTTGAAGACTTAGAGAATCGTGGGCAGCTTGCTGTGTGGGAAGAGTTAGAGAAAGGGATGGTGGAAGAGCAGATCCCCTCTTCTCTGCCCAGGGAGACGCCTGCGCATGGAGTTCTGCCTGGCACCATCTTGGTCCCAGGGCCGGGTGCCTTTTGCCTCTGCTGCTGAATGCTATGCTGGCCGTCTGGGCTTGTGCAGCCTCAATGTTTTTCCTGAACGAACAGATTTTCTGTTCCTAGGGGGATGCAGAAGGCAAAATGAATATTTTGCATAACCTACTTTCCACCTGGGAGGTCTGCATCCATGGGAACTCTTCCTCCTTTTGTTTTCCTCCAAAGCTGGTGCTATTATTCTACCCCGATCCCCTTCTAGCCTCATCCCGCTCCCCTAAATTGAAAATGAAGCTGGTTAGATGTGAAACTCCAGTAGTGAAAATCTACCATCTGTGTCCCTGCCACCATTCGAACTACCGTTCTTCCCTTGAGAGTTATCTGATCTCGTTTTGGTTCAAATTCTGTCATCTCTGTCCCAGCTGTGGGCCATCTTAATACATAACCGTGTTTTGCTCCTCACCTCTGTGTCCCAAATACCAGAGTCAGAATTGGAAGCATCGAAGCAGCATTGCTTGGCTCCCCAAGAGCTGCCAGCAGCCTGTTTCCAGGGACAGCTCTGATGTTTAGGTGGAACAGGGAATAACCAGCCTACGGTAACACGGGGCGGTTCTGCCACTGTCTCTCCGATGTGACACAGCTCAAACTTCCATCACGTTTCTCCTGCCCGTTGTGGTGTGCCTTTGCAGGAAGTTGCAAAGCCTGGCAAGGCCAACAAAACATTACAGCAGTGGGTGCTGCTGGGGTCTCCTCCCCTCTCAATCCGCTTCCCATTAGCCTCGTTCCAGATTTGTGCCACAGATGGCAGATTTTCACTCCAGTTTTGAGACAGAAGGATTGGAGGCTGTTTTTATTTCCACTGAGTTGATCTATAACCCTTTGCTGCTTTGTCTCTCGCTTTTCCAGACCTTCCTGCCGTCTCCTGTGTGGAGATCTGCCCAAATTCTTGCTCCCCCACCTCTTTCAAGCGCTGTCTCTCCAACCTTTGTCCCTTTGATAGCTAACCGGCCTGCTTTATTAACCTTAGCTAGTTCCTAACCCTAACTAGACGCTAACTTTTCTCTAGCAAATAACCTAACCTCTTAACTAGAAGCTGAGTACACCTAGAATCTAATATCCTAACACTATAAAACCTCTCTCCCCTCATCTCCTTTGAAAAATAAAGACAAACTGTAATCAGTATCTGTATATTTTTACCTTCTATCCTGAAAACGGAGGACTGAGCCGCAGCACAAGAAGGGTGAGCAGGGCTGAGCGCTGAAGGGAGGCTGTGGCTCAGGCAGCCGACACGCGGGAGGCCTGGGCTCCTCTGCCGCAGCGCTCCCTGCCACCGCGGGCGCATTGCTTCACCTCAACCTCGGTTTCCCCATCTTTAGAGAGGGGAACGTAATTCTCGCCGGGGGAGAGGAGAGTGTGCAGGCTGCTATTTGTCCAGTAGTGCTCAGTACGAGCCCTGGCTGCAGAGTGACAGCAGTTGTTACCGTTACGGAGAAACTCTTGTGCTTTTCCCAAGTAAGAGGCAATATTTGGAATTGCGGAATCTGCTCTGTTCTCAGGATTGGGGTAAAAAAGCAAAGCAATCAACCTCCCTTTTTTAATAAGCTGTGTAACGAGTTTGAATGCCGCTGTGAGCAAAAGGACCTGCCGTGTTTTCAAAGGAAGATGGTTTCGAGCTCCAGAGGTCAAACGGGGGCACAGTGATTTTGCTGCCACCTGGGCTGTGGTGTGGTTCACAGCCATGATGAAGTCACCTCCTCTCATCTGTGAGACCTGCCCAGACAGAACGCTCATGTCAGGCACTGGAGACAACTGGAGGGGGTTTGAATAAAAACCACAACAAGCAGAGCAGGGCTCTTCTCTCCAAAAATACCCTCTCCTGCACTGGGGTTTGGGATGATTGTAGAACGGTGGCATGAGCACCCCCTGCACTTAAGCAATAGCACAACTTTATTTAATGCGGAGCATCTGGCTTCAATCTCTGTGCTGAGCCACTGAAGGATAACTGAAGGTCCTGTTAAGGACACGCATTGAATTCCTCACACATCCGTGCCAAAAGCTTAAGTTTGGAACTGGGAATTCGCTGGCAGAGCTGGGATCAGACCTGCAACTCTAAATGTGATGCAGGGTACCTGAATGTCCTTTCTGTGACTTGGCTGACACCAACATAACGCTGTCTCCTTTCCCCCAGGGTGATGAAGATGTGCAGGTTCATCACACATTCTGCAAATAACAAACAGTAATGTTAGCTGAGAGCTTGAAGACTTTCTATCCATTCTTACCAGCAAAATGGAGCCAGTCTCAAAGAGCTTCCAAGATAAGTGCCACGGAGGCTCTGTAAACAGCCAGCTGAATTGGACTGCTTTAAAAAGGGCATCCCACCTTGAGTACCCGAACCCTCTTCAGTCTGTCCCTCTAATTTGAGATAGCACAGGAAGTTTCCTACTGGGAACTGTCTTCCTTGACTCAGGTCCTTTTCCCACAGGCAATCCAGGTGTTGGGGCTTTTGCAGTCTTTTCACTTCTTTTCTTTGTTTTCTTTGCAGAAGGTACACCGATCCGAGGTAAGACACCCCCACCACTCACTCACCCACTCTCCAAACACTTCTCTCCACTCAGTTCCTGTTTCATTGACCTGTACTCAATCCAGATTCTTGTTGTTGTGTTACGTTCTCTTGTCCTGCTTCACCTCTGGATATTTATTTCTTTTTTATACCTGTCTTTATTTTATATATGGTTATGATGTCTGTTTCTGTTTGCTGGGTGCACTCGGTAATACCGGTACTGTTATTCTAATAACGTCTCAGGCTGTACTGCCTCAGATTTATGGCAGAGTTTTAAGAGCTGATCTCTCCAGGACTGCAAAGGACAGAAGATTGTCTTGGGCAGTAAATGTTATCAAAGCTTGGTAAATAGTTAGAGTCTCTCTTAACTGTTGCAAAGTGATCCTGAGCCACTGATTGTAGTGGAAGTTTTCCAGTCCTTTGCTCAGGCTCCCATCTCCTTGTCTTCAGGGCCGTCTTCCCCTCTCCTCTCCACTCTCTCACCCTTAGGTTTTTCTGGAAGAGATACCCATGGTAAGTAGCTTCTGCACTGTGTCATTAATGGAGGCCCAAAAGAGCTCCGGCTGTCGATGAAAGTCAGCAGGAAGAGTGTGCACACACCTTTGGAACCTTGCTTTAGCACTGACAAGTTTAAAAGACTGTAAATCTCTGTTGGTAAAAAGCAGCATCAGGTGCTGTGTGTGAGATAATTATTTTTTCACACGTCATCTCCATTGGCTCCTGGCAGCTGACTGCAGGGTAACTTCCACACTGCATTCACCAGCAAAGCTGGGATGGTCAGGATGAGGGATTGGGTCCTCATCCCTGCAGTACAGCTGTGTGCTGCAGTTTGGTGCTGCTTCTGCTCTGCGCTGCGTTCGCCCCATCGCACGCTCTGATGAGCAGCACTCTTGAGTGCCAGGTTTGCCTGGAACCAGCTGAAGTTATCACAGATTTGTCCAGACAAACAGAAGTTTCTGGGAAGGCTCCCCGAGCAGCTCTCCGCCTCTGTGGAAGTTTCAGAAGGCAGATGATACTCGAGCCTCAGTTCAGTGTGAAAAATGCTCAGCTGATGTTTCAGTGTGAAGCTTCAGCATTTGGTTTCTCACTCCTCTCACACTGAAATACCCTCAGGTTCTTTTGAAATGACTTCAGTTCGATTTAGCGCTGTTGTGGTTTTTTTTTTCATTCTCTCTGTCCTGCCTTTGGGATCTACCAGACGTAGTGGGTCTGGGTGGGAGCTGCACTTTCACACCCCGTTGCTGTCAGAAGCACTTGCAGCCTCACGGCTTCCCGCACAGCATCCTGCTGCACCCTGCACACACAGCACAAGCTCCATGTCCTCCCCATGCAGACACATCGCTCTGAAGGGGCTGCATCTGCACCCGACTGAAGATGCTATCATTAATATTAGATCTGGAATTGTTTTTACTATTATTGCTTTTTCCAGGGATGGGAGTTAGGAGTCTCGGCTCATGTGAGCTCTGCCCATTTCTGTAGTATAATCATGTACTCCTAATACATAAAACATTTGATAGCCCGGTGAATTATTTATGTTGTATGTATTCTAACTGAAGTTTTGCAGGAGTGAAGCCCTTTGAGGTAAATGAGGCAGTTTTCTTCCATGTAGTTACATGCTGCATATACATGCATGTCTGCTTACGGGGGTATTTAGTTTGGGCTCCCGGTATGTTCTTGTCAGCTCCAATAATTTACAGGTTTAAGAAAATAATGTAATCCTTTTGGTCCAGTCAGCATAGGCCTAACACGCAATTTGAAAATATTCATTAGCAGTAATGTGATTTTCACGCTTTATCTCCTGTGAGATTCCTCAGTCACAAACTGAGGCACAGAACACTGGTAAGAGTGCTCCAGGGATGCTGGACGTTGGGTGACAATCCCGCCATCCCTGCGGTCGCTGCTTCAGATGGAGCAGGGGGAAGCTGACTGTCTTCAGACAGATTTCTGGCGATCGCAGTAATACGGATTACTGAAGCTGATTTCATGAGTTCTGGTGCAGAATGTCTGCATTGCAGAAGTCACAACAGTCGGTATTTCTGCTAATTGGTTCAGTACAGAGTGACACTTCATCCAGAGGCGGGTGTGAGGCTTCCCTTCCTGCTGGCCACGTCCAGCTGTAGCTCAGAGCACAGGCAGGAGCTGATCCTGGCAGGGCTCTTCCTTTCCCATCCCAAGACCCCTAGCAGCGTTCCGGCGCGCGTTTGCCTGAGGGGAGGAGAAAGCAACACTGATGCTCCTGCTTCCTCTGAAAACAAAGTGGTGATGACTGTCTGTGCTGCGGTCTCTCTCTCTCCTGCCAGGTGGCCTGCAGATCGAAAGCAGCGAGGAGACGGACCAGGGGAAGTACGAATGCGTCGCCAGCAACAGCGCGGGAGTGCGCTACTCCTCACCTGCAAACCTTTACGTGAGAGGTAGGGAGCGTGTCGGCCCGCAGCGCTGGCAGATACCGCCCTCCCCGTGGCCGTCCTTTGTCCCCAGCGCTCTCATTTGCTCCTGTGCTGAGCACGGGGAAAGCTCTGGTGCTTCTGCTCGGATCCCTGCAGTGCACTCCTGAGCTCGCAGGGCTGTCCTGGTGTACCCTGAGTTCCTCCCTGCTGCTGGGGCTCCGGCCGGCACCCGAGAGCTGCAGAGCAGCGGTACAAGGCTGTGTCACCCTTGTGAAGCTGAGTGCAATCCAGACCAGTCCAAGAATCTGCCAGCATCAGCCCAGAGAGGAGCATCTAGCTTTGGCTGCAGAGGCCATAATCCCCTTTCCTAACTAAGAATCCCTGCTGGCTGGAAGCGGGAAGGTCTCAGTTTTGCTGGTAGGGGTGTGAGAGGAGGGGAGGGCCTCCTCAGCCCTCCCCTGCCAGACCCTTTCACCCAGGACCTTCCCAGGTTGCAGCAGGAGGGGACATCCCCAACTCCCTGCTTGTGTTCCAGCCGGTTTTCCCTTTGCCAGCAGCACTTTGTCACTGATGCCTTGGGTGTGAGCGCTGCCGCAGGCAGAGCTGCAGAGCTTGGAGTGGCCAGCAGACATCTCTGCCATCAGTGACAAATCCCTTTGCCCGTGTCACACGGAACAGATGATGGGACCGGCTCCTGCTGAGTGCCCCCTCGATCTACTCCCACCCAGGGGCTGTTGCCTTTCTGCTTTCTTTGTTCTATTTTCGTCTCTCTCATCTGTAACATTTGTGTGTGGCTTTGGTTTAATATCTTTCCAGAGCAAAACTTTTGATAATGAGAGAGCAGGACCGGTCCTTCTCACTTTAAAAAAAAAAAAAAAATGAAAAATACCATCGGGAGGAAAAAAAAGCAAAATTCCATCCCAGCAAACTGTTCCCATTTCCATCCCATGGCAGAGGAAGCGCCGCCCACCCCACCCCCGTTCCCTCTGCAGCCCCGCACAGAGCTGTGCTCCGGCGCGCCTTTCTCCCTCTCTGTCTCGCTCTCGCTCGTGTCTCACGCTCACTAAATCACATGCGCATGGAGAGAAGGCTTTTAATAATTTAACGTTTCCAAGCTACATTTTTAAATAGCCTTTTGTGGCCAGCTGGAAAATTGCATTTTGAAATTTGCCCTGTCAGTCAGGCCCCGAAATGCTGCTTTTTGGGATGCAAATCCGGACCGATACTCATTCAGGGCAGTTCCTGATCCTACTCTGGGGCAGGCTGGATCTGATGCTCATCCAGGGCAGACAGCTGGGGCTCTTTCTCTAAAACAAACAGTAACAAAAAAAAAAGCAAAAAAGGTGGTGATTTTCTGCTATTTGTTTCTTCCCAAATCTCCACCTTTCTGGCCACTCGGAGCCCTCCCGCAGACGTGGCCGCAGCCAGGCCTTCCCTGCGGGGTGCAGGCGGCTCAGCGGGCGCTTCTCATGCTGTTTAATTCTTGTTTCTTGTCTGTTATTATCGTGGAAAGGTAACAGGTTTCCGCAGTGGATTATGCGTTGGTGGGAGGGAACGTTCACGCGCCTTTTTCTTCCCGATTTTTGTTCTAAGAGAGGCTCCAACACTCCCGCGTTCCCAATGCCTTGTTTGTCCCGTAGCTCGCTTGTCTGTAGAGCACCCGGGATAGGAGTTGTAAGTGAACACTACGAGGAAATGTTTCGCTTTGGGTTTCCTTTTCTCCTTCTAACGATTTCCTTTTCCTCACTCAGAGCCGGGTTGGGGCGGGGGGAGCGCGGGCAGCAGGGCTGTGCCGGGGCCGAGTGCTCTGCAGGGACCCGCCGCGGCCCCCGCCGCCCCCCGGCGGCTCCGCAGGTCGGCGCCCCTCGGCCCGGACGGTTCTGGGCCAGGACGGCTGGCGGGCCGGCCCTGCAGAGCTCGCCTGCTGTGGCCTGGCTGGATGGGAGGGGGAAGGCAGGAAGGCGAGGAAGGAGGGTCGTTACTATCTTCATTTTTTTTCCTTTCCTTTTGTTTTGATTAAGAGAAAAAAAAAAAAAAAGAAAAAAAACAACAATCAATTTGCAGCTGACAGCCTTGAGAAGGCCTTTTTTTACTCTCTCTGTGTTTCCCCTATTTTTCTCTTCTCCTCATGTCATTGTGTTCCGCATCAAACCCCCTTAACATCCCTCAGAGCTACGAGAAGGTTGGTGTGGTTTTTTTCTTTTTTACTTTCTTTACCCACATTTTTACATTCTTAAGAGAAAATAAAAAAATGAAAATTAAAAAAAATAATTAAAAAAAAAGAGAAAAAGCAAGAAATCTTTAAGATGAGCGAGACCCGCTGTTCCCGGGTCTTGCGGAGATGAGTTGAGTTGCATTGTGGGCCTCTATGCATCCTTTGGTAATGTTGCTGAGTTCTTGCACTTTCTGTCGTCATGGTTACCTTGCCGTTTGGACATTGGGCCTGATGCATGATAGGAGAATGTAACAATCTTCTTTGCATGCACTTTTTAAATTAATTACCAATCATTTTTTTCTGTATATAAGTATGTATAGTTTTTTTTGTTTGGTTTGTCTTTTTTTTTTTTTTTTTCCTTTTCTACAATTCTGATTGATTTGAAGTGGATTTACAATTACTTTCTAAGTGGTTCGTTCCGTTGGGTTTTTTGCTTTCTCTTGGTTTCCCGTTTCAGTTCTGGTTGGTTATGCTGTGCTGTAGTTGATTCCAAACGCATTGTGAGAAGCCAGTGTTCCTGCCCCCCCAGTGGTAACCGAACCCCCAGTCCTCAGCAGGAAGGGGTCACACAGCTCTAACGCCTGTCCGTGGAAGCACTGCTGTTGGGGACGAGCCTTTGTCGTGAGGGGAGGGAGGGACCTGGGAAGTGGAAAAGATGGTCGGAGGGCAGAGCGAGGGCAGGGCCGGGCCGCGTGCCTCGGCTGGGGGCGGCTGCCCCCCAGTTCCTGCACGCAGAGGACGCAGGACGGCCCAGCCGCGCTGTGCAGAGCCAAGGCACCGCACGCAGGAGCTGCTCTGCCGCGGGAGGACGGAGCTCCCTCCGTGCCCCACCGCACGCAGGCGTCTGCCCCTCACAGCCCGCATCTCACGGCTCTGCCTCCCCGCTGGCCCTCCTCGTCCCCTGGCATTGGGGCACCTCGAAAAGCAGCCGGCGCAGCGAGCTCCGAAGTGCTGCTGCCAGACAAGGCAGAGCCCTCCTTTGGAGAGGAGTGTGGAAAGAGAAATGCAGCAGCAGTAGACGCGAAAGATGCTGCAGGGGCACATCTGGCAGCTGCATTCCACATTGTAAACAGCAATAAGAAATCTGACAAGTTACATTCGAGCTGAAAATGCCTCTTTTCCCTCTTCTCATCTCCCTGTTTATCCCCATTAAGCTTCTGTTGCCTCCCATGTGTGCATCCTGAGCGGGCAGCCACATGGGATAGTAAACAGGTGGGTTTTTGCAGTGTGTTAGTTGTACCTCTGGTGCTTGGTGCTTTTGCCCTGTGCAGAATTGAATGCCCTTCTGTCCCTGTTTATGCATTTCCCTCCACCCATCAGTCCTCACTACTCAATAATCTACCAAAGGAGTGGCTTTCCTAGTGTACAGGTATTAAAGCTGTGTGATTTTTGAGAAATCCAGTGCAGTATTGACACAGTATCTGTCTCTCTCTTTCTCTGTCTCTCTCTTTCTTTCTGTCTTTCTCTCTCTTTTTCTTAAAATACTGAGATTTCAGTGCTCGGACCCTCAGTACTGGTATTCCCCCCCCCTTCAAGTCTCTCCCCTTCCCCCATAGGTACCACGGTACCTCTCCAAAATGCTGCACTGTTGATCATGTCTTTTAGAGCAGCCAGCTGTGGCTCTTCTAACTTTGCCTAATGCCAACAACAACCAAAAGACATCTCCCAGCCCCAGCATTCTATTTAAAGAAAAAGAAAAAAAGGCATGCTCTATTTAAAAAGAGCAAGAGAGAAGGAATAGAGTTTGAAATAAGGTGTTCCCATCCCACCTCCCTCCTGCCTGGGACTAAAAGGTGTTAGTCACCACTAATCACAGGATTTTCCTTCATGAATAGGAGTTTGAGTTTTAGGATTTAGATGCAATGAAAAAGGGATTTATACACCATTTATTTTTGTATTTGTTTATTTTATCTTTTATGAAATATCTCTAACGTGCCCTAACTGCATTGCTGCTGCTAGAATCACTTGTGGTCTGAGAAGGTCTTAAGATAAATTCTTCCTTAAGAGTGAATAGAAACAATAATAGCATCAAGAACAGTAAACTAAAGCTAAATTGAATGCAGTCACTGTAGGCTTGAATGGCACTGGGCAAGGAAACAGAGACTCGAAACCCACTCCAGGCAGTTACCTGGTGTGATGGGATTTAGGGGCATGGTCTTGAACGTATTGGCCTGTGGTTTCACTGTGTATCATTGCGGATCAGATCGCGCCACAGTCCAAAATAAGTCTGCTAGCAGGGAATTTCCAAGCTCAAAATGCAGAAGCATCTTCGTGGAGAGCTGCAGAAGCAGATCAGAAGTGGGGGAGAGGAGTTGTGCCTGCAGCTCGGCCCATTGGGAAGTCCTGTGTAATGAGTGTCTTTCTTGCTGGTAGGGTTTGGAGCCTGCTGCCTCTCCCTCTCTCCCTGCACAGCCATAGGGCTGGCAGAGCTCAGTGGCCTTCTTTCAGCTGGGGCACAAGGAAGCCTTTTTGGCACTTTAACAGGCTTCGAGTCTTGTCCAGAAGAGCTGAGACGCTCACTGCTCTCTGATGGGTGGAACCAGGCTTGAAACCCAGCAGTGCCTTTCTGCAGGCATCAGTGAATCTCCCAGGCCATGCCCCACAGAGGTCCCGTAGTGCTTGTCAAAGGTCTATGGCCTCAGCTGTTTTGCTCCCTTGAAATGGAGCAGTTTGTAGCTCCTGTCTAACTGAGAGCTTTAAGCTCTTACGCCTGTGCTGTTTTGATTTCAATAGCCAGCTGCTTGGCTCAGCGTGTGAGGACTGTCCCTGCATGCTCTCCCTTACTACAGATGGAAGGAGGAAGGAACAC